GCTGGAGGGGGTCCCCCCCTTCCCATTCCAGGGCAGGAGGGGCTGGGAGTGGGCACTAAGCAAGGAGACAGGATGGAAAGTGGGCAGATACTTGTCTCATACATAGATCCTATATGCTTTGGAGCAAGGACCTACTTTCTTCTGTCTGCATAGCTCCTAGCATGGTAGGGCTTTGCTCTGGGAGAGGGCCCCAAGGCCTGCCTTGTCTCTACAAAGTGCAATGGCAGAGAGTTACCTATGTGGCAAAGCTGCCCACCAGGCCAGGAGACCCTCCAGGGTTATAGTTCAGAGAATGCACTGCCCCCAGCGCTTTCCCTGCTAACACCTAACATGATTGTGACATGTAGTTCTTCATCCAGGGCCAGTGCAGATGCTGCCCTCTACCCCTAAGCAGGGAGGAGACAAGTGGTTTGAAGGCAAAGATGCCTCACACCATTTGTTTTTAAGGGGCAGGGCTACCTTGGGAAATGAACATTGCTAACCTGCAGTCACCTCTTAGTGTGAACAGGGACCTGTGTATTTGAACCCCTAACACAGGGCTCCTATGTGGCATATACTGTAACTTAGTCTTTCTGTAAGGGGGAATAGTCCTGCTATTGTGGGGAACTTTCCTGACTTCTGTACTACCCCCGTGAAGTGAGCTAGCGAAAGGATCTGAGTCCCCGCTCCGACTTCCTTTACCCAGTGGCCTCCCTGCCCTTGAGGACTCCCCTTCCACTCTCCTGTCTGGCAGAGTCCTCGTAACCCCAACAAGGCTGGGCCCAGGATTCCTGGGGGGCTCGACCCCCAACCCTGCTGTGGTCACCTAGGACAGGGGCTAGGGTGTCCCCGCTCCAGGGTACTCTCCCTGCACTGGGCACTTCCTGGACTCACTGCTCATTACGTACAATTTAAAGCAAATGCAAGTTGTTTAATCAACAATTAATTTAAAAAAGGAAAAATAGGAAAGGTTAAAGGAAACACATCACCCCACTCGGAGCAGGGAACATCACAAACAGTGTCTCTGGAATGTCCGGGCAGTTCACAGTCTGTTACTTGTGAGTCCCAGGCCGCCTTCTCAGGCCCTGGCTGGGCTGCAGGGATGCTGTGGGTTGGACACTCGCTCTGGTGGTGGCCACACGCTCCCAGGCTCTAAGTGGTAGGACCCTTCTTCCCAGTGTTGGCCACCGCCCTGTCGGGGTTATGATCCAAGCCTGGCCTGCAGAGCCCCTTGGCTGAGGCATCTCCCTGTGCTGGGTCTGCTGCCCAGGGTCCCCCTCGCTCTCCCCAGCTGCTCACCGCATCCAGCTCCACCACTCGGTCTCTGCACAGCTGCTGCTCTGCCTCCAGCTCCCTGGGCTGCTTCTCTGGCCCCTCTGCCTCTGGTTGCTGCAGCTCTGCTCCCAGGACAGGTCTGCGCTGCAGGCTGCTTCTGTGACTCTGCTCCCAGCACTGACCTGCTTCCTGGGCTGCTTCAGCTCTGCTCCCAGGGCAAGTCTGCTCTCTCTGGGCTGTGCCTCTGGCTTGGGGGCTGCAGCTCTGTTCCCAGCCTAGGGTCTGCTCTCTCTGGATCTGGCACAGCTCAGCTTGGGCCCCTGCTTTCTCTTTAGCTTGGCCCCACTCTGTCTGACCCAGGCAAACCCAGCTCTCGCAGAGGACAGAACCTCCCTGGCCTGCTGACTCCCTGATTAGCCTGCCATTCAGGATGACCTGGAGCATTGGCCTCCCCCCCTTGTACCTGGGGACTATCAACCCTTCCCCTTTTAGTACTGAGAACTAGCAACCAAAACACCCCCATTGAATGTTAGTAAGGGGCAACAGTCCCCTTACATTGCCTATTGGCCCAACTTCCGTTAGTTAGAGGCAGGCCTTCTTGCTCCCTAGGGCTGGGAAAGGCACTCAGTGACTGTCCAGGTCTTTCCTACACCTGAAAACAAGCTTTGGAGCAGCAGCAAGCTTGCTCTCTCTCCCCCACAGCAGCTGGTGCAAGAAGAGATATTACCTCACCCACCTGGTCTCTCTACGACCCTGGGAGAGAGAGACAGCGCTCAGCCACACTGCAAACTTGAATTGCCTTGGCAGCCTAGACCCTGACTTCTGTCTCTTGGACTCTGCCCCAGGGGCAAGCTCCAACTGCGGGGGTAGGAAAATGATCAGCAAGCTTGCCTGAGGCCTGCAGGTACAGGGTAAATAGCCCATCTCCGGGCAGCCCACGGGCTCAGCCAGACCCAGTGAAGGGCAGGAGCTGGGCACTTCACACTGAAGGATTGACAGCTGATGGATCAGAGGAAGAGGGTGGTGTGCCAGAAGTCGCTGGAGGGCTGGCCCCTTCCCCTGGGCCCTCTGCATGGCCCTTCTCACCAGGGAACGGCCCCAGAAGCTGTAGCAAGTGTTTGTTGGGAAGAGACTCAGTGCATCAGGCCCTGCTCAGACAAGCGGCTGCAGAATCCTGCCCCCTCTAACAGTACCTCCTGCAATCAAGCCTTAAATATATGCAAGATGCCTCTACAGCCAGCAAACCCCCCCGCCCCCATGTCTTAGCATCTAGCCCCTGCAGACCCACTCTCCCTGCCACATGTCCCTCCAGCTTCTGTGGTTCCTGGGGCCCTCACCAGCACACTGGTGAGCTGTGCCTTTAAGAGACACCATCAGCTTGTGTAGGAAGTGTATCCCACCATACCTAAGGTAGGAGAGTTTGCAGTGTAGAGTTTTAGTTCAGCTGACCAGTGGGAACGATTCCTGTTGTTGTACCAATAAAATAAAAACCAGCAGGATCTTAAAGGGAAAAAGGCAAAATGCCACATTTATTGTGAATACAGAAAGAATCATAGTAAGCAGTTAGTTATAGCTATAAGATTCCATTCAATCTCATATTTATTCACACATTCATTCATACAAACACACACACACACAGGTTCTGCAAGGTTGTTATCATAGTTACCAGCCTTAGAGTTGCTCATGCCAAGCCACTGGCCAGGTGGCCTGGACATGAGGAGGGAGCAGGGCCTTGTCAGATGCTCATCTGATGCTCCTGGAAGTTGGTTTGCAGAATCAGACCCCAAAGTTCTCACTTTTTAGAGTCTATTTTTATAGGAATTTCTTCCTATGCCAGTCTATGGGAATTGGTTCATTATGCTGTTGCTGAATCAATCAGCAGATAGCACATTCCTGACGGCTCCAAGATGTTATCTTGTTCTTTGGTTCTCCCATTCTTGAGGCTGTTGGGTGGATTCCAGTCTGCCCTCCGGGGGGGTCCTCTGGTTATTTCCACTTGACGCCTTCTTCAGCCGATGGACACTGGATTCTTAGGCTGGCACCTCCCTGATCATTCAGTTATTATCCACACCAAGCATCCATCCACATACATCCTCTATCTCTATTTTAATCACAATTGTTAATACAACAAAAGGGTGGGGAGTCTCTGGGTGCTGTTTCTGTTGTTAGAGTATTGCTTTGAGTCTCTCTCTCTGTGAATTGCTTTGAGAATAGACTTAGAATGTACTAACACAATTAGCAGCTTGCAAGTTTCACACATAGAGGGAGAGAAACAGTACCAAAAACCAAGAGACCTCTTAATTAATAATACCCTGGAATTTAAACTCTGGGGAATCAAACTCATTTGTGATTTTAATACAGAACTTCTTTAATATGATCCAACACTGTAACATCCCACTTACAGGCAAGCCTCATTGCAACTCAGCCTCTAGCCCAGTACCACCTACTAAGAGCCTCAAGGCAGCAGCCAGATGCAGGTTTGAATATTCATATGAGGGTATATTTGACTTTGCATGCTCTGGCTGAGTCAGCTCCTCCCTTTTTAGGGGGCACAAGCCATGGAAATTGGGGGGGGGGGGGGGAAGGGAGAGAGAGAAAAGATGGTTACAATAGCCTTCCTTCTCTAGTTGGAGGGAAGAGATTCTTGCCACCCATCTGCTTCCCCCAGATCACAGACTGAATTCTCCCACCAGTGCCGCAGCAGAAATGAAGTCTGCAAGCAGATGAGGAGAGAGGTTTTAAACAGCATGGTGGTTCTGCCTCCATCTCTGCTCTGTGTATGCCAGGAGCATGCCCTGCTGAGCACCTGGGTAGGGGAGAAGCCATAACCCCCTTACTACAGAACTTCAACTGTCTTCAGTCAATACTTCTCTGGCAGGAGAAGTGCCTGCCGCTGGCTCAGTTTCCTTAATAACCAAACATGAGTCAAGGACCCTTATCTGTATGCAGAGGAGTATTTATTGTGGAAGAGCCAATAGTTTTACACTGTGTTCCACTCTTAAGTCAGTCACAGGGAGGGGCGAGCGGGGGGGTCTTTCTAGGGGCAGACACTGGATTTTGTCAGGGGAGCAGCATGAGACCAGCCTCTATACCTCAACAATGCAAGGCTATTAAGAGGACAAAAGCTAGCAACCATCACAAGGCCATGTGCAGTGGAGCAGAGATGGTACTTGCAGAACAGACAGTTACTATGCATTGTCTTGAGTTTCCATGCTTAAGGCTGTACTCTAAAGGGAAGAGTTGTTTTTTTTTTTTTGGAAAAAGTGTGAGGTTCTGCAATATCTGGTCAGACGTCTGCACAGCAGGGGCAGGAAGACCAGAAAGCAGACCAGGTCCCATCCTCACTCTTTTTATACCCTTAACAGACAGGCCAGAGGAAGCCCTACCAAAAGGTCAGAGACAGGAGTCTCTGAAATAAAGGGATTGGAGGTCTGCTCCCATTCCCTTGGGGGAGACATTAAGGCCATAAATCTTAGGGCCTGCATCTAAGAGCAGTATTCCCACTCAAGCCTCACCAGGAAGAGCATCAGAGGTATTCTAGCAAGTGGGGACTTGAATACAAGATAGACAGCCTTATATACATTGTATGTCTGGCTGTCTGCACACTGCAGAGTCATTATGTGCAAAGTAACGGACAGACTCCTATCCCAAAGCCAACTATGGCTGGGCTATTCTAGCTGTGAACATTAAGCTCCATTTGAGCAGTAGTGAGATGTATTGCATTAGATCACCATACAGCCACTACTTCAGGCTTCCACCGGCACCTCTGCCTTCTCAGCCTCTGCCGGTTCCTCTGCCTTCTCCGTAGAGTCTCCAGCAGGGGCAAAGGGTCCCACAATCCATGTGAGGGGAGTGTTCTGCACCACATATTCCAGCAGCTCATCCAGGGACTCCTGGGCTTTGGCCAACTTCTCCCGAGTCTGGGTCAGGATACCCTCAGACAACTCCTGGAGGGATTGGACATGGGAGAGCTCCAGACTTCCTTCTCCAATGTTCTGGTAGGCTTGCTGGACCTTCTCCTGGAGAGTGGCAGGGAGACCCTGGATGTTGGTCAGGAGGCTATGGCAGGTGGTCCACACCTGCAGGATGAGGTTATGGGAAGTGGCTAGAGCCTGGGCCACCATCTCCTGTAGAGAGAGATAGGAGGGAGAGTGACTATGTGTGTGAAGCTCACTCCTGTCATGACATGCTGTAGACACAAGGTGCAGTGCAACAATGCAAGAGAGGAAGGATACCTCTGGCTGCGGTGAGCCGTTGTCCTCACTGCCTCCTGGCTGGCCCTTGCGACACTCCAGCCATATCTGCTGCAGTTTCTCCTGCCCATCATGAGCCTTCTGACCCAGGGCCTGTTCCATCTAGGAGAGTGAACATAGGATTCCACAGCAACAAGTCACACACTTACATAACTAATAGTGGCTGGAGGAACTGCTTGTTCACAGGACACAATTCACCATCTACCACTACAGTGGGGCTGGTCAGGCCAGGCAGACGCTGTAGTCTATAGGCCAGTTTGTTAGCCTGGGATAGAATTTTGGGTTTGAGTTCGATACTCTTGTATTCTATAAGAATGTGTATATGTGTGAATAAAGGACAGAGACACTGCATTGCTTTTGCCTGGCCAGATGAGTTTGTTATAGAATGGGAACAAGGAAGAACAGTTAAAGCGTTACAGGGTATAGTGGGAGTGGAATATGAGCACACACCGACAGGCTGCCTAGCTCCTTTAAGCCATGGTCAAGCAACCAGTTAGAAGGGGCAAGTGGGTGGAGGGAGAATAAAAAAGGGAGGTGGAGGCATATAAAAAACCCTAAAAGCCAAAGAAAAGCCTGGCCTTGGCTAGAGCACAAGCTCACTCCTTACCCATGGGATACAAAAGAAGTGGGACAAAGACTCCCGACTTATGACTCCAAAACAGAGCATGACATAACGTGCAAGGAGGTGCAACTAGGGGTGTCCACTACAGGTCTATTTGGGCCTGCTAAGGAGGTGGCGATGGGAACAAAAGAGGCTCTGCAGCATCAAAGCTGGGAACAGGCCACTGGGGAACAGACACTGCCAGCGTGTAGAGCTATAAATACGCTTGCTTGGAACTAATCCCAATAACATTGCATTGCCTGCACTTCAGACTTCTGCTTTCTGTCTGCATGACAAGAACCAAGGGAGAGGGTGAAGGAAAAGCCTTCTCACAGACACACAGCAAGTTATGTAGCTATCAAGACAGAGGGCTTTACCCAAAGCAGACCTGGGAGGGAGGGGTTTAGTGTTCCTACCAGGTCAATGATTTGCTGGAGCTGGGAGAGGGCCTCCAGGGTGTGCTGCCTGGCTTGTCTCATCTTGCCCAGGGCATGCTGGTAGGCTCGCTGGCGCAGCGTGCTCGACAGGGAACCCAGACGCACGTAGTAACTCCGCTGCTCTGCGGGAGCCTCTCCAGGCCCCTCCAGGGATACTGCGAGTTTAGCTGGAAAGGAACAGGAGAACCAGGATCTAGTCAGCAGGGAGCTGACAGGCACAGGATGCTTTCAGACAGACCGTGTGCCAGCAAGCCACTCTTGTATTATTTTAGTTTGGGCTGTACTAGAGCCGAGAGCTGGAGAAAGGGAGCCAGCACAATATTACCTCTGCCTTCAAACTTTATCAGAGTTCAAACATCTGCCATAGGGGAAGTTAACTGAAGGTAACTCGAACTTCTAGACTGTGGACCGACTCCAATTGTAGAAGTGTTCCCAATTCCAGTTTACACTGAGCTCTTGCATAGCACTTGCTACTCCAGTCTCCTATCCAGCATCTCAACTGGACAGTGACCTGGCTGGCATTGCCTCTCAACTGAGCAGCTGTACTGTCTATATGTGCAAGAGACAAGCCTCACCAAGCTACAAAATGCTACTGTGCATAATTTCAGCAACAGCCTACCATGAGCACAAGTCTTGCCCACCCCACTCGCTACAGTGCCATTGAGCAGGAGATCTCACAAGCACCACATGAGCGGATCTAGGATACCCGCAGGGACACTTAAGACTCCGGAATGGGGGCCGCAGTTGACCACTCTGCTCCCTGGCTTGAGTGAACCACCTACAGCAAGATTAAAGCTAGTTTGTGCAGGAACAGGCGCTCACTCAAGGCTGGCCCTAAGCAGAATCTGAAAGCCACCACTTGGGTTTTGAGCATATGATGCACCTCCAGCCTTACTTTTTAAACAGAGAGAGAGCCATGCTTAGCATTAGTATTACAAAGCCACACCAGGGGGACCACAAAAGTAACCCCATGTGACAAGTGCAAGTTATGATGCACTGAACTCCTGTATACCAGCAATGGGTACAGTATGAGCAAGTTACACCTGGGCACCACCATTGATCTGTGGTATGGGGAGACGAAGCTTCTTGTCATCCAAGTTACCCCTAGGGCCATACCAAAAACCTGTGTAGGGGTATCAGAGACAGGGATCACGTTTCTTTAGGTTTATGAAGGAGTGTAGGAGCATTCTAACCAAGGAGTGTAGGAGCATTCTAACCAAGTTCCTCATCCGTCATCGGGAGGTAGTGATCCACCAATGACTCAGATGTTTCAAGTACCAAGTCAACACCGCTCATGATTATCTGCCCCATGCTGGAGCCCATCACTGTGCTCATGCTGCCGGTCACTGCTGGTTTGGTCACCTCCACGCTCTCCTGGACAGCCCCTTTGGCCACGCCCACCATGCTGGTCACTGCATCCTTTGCCTCAGTGACCGTGCTGCAGACTGCATCCTTGGCATCTGTCTGTGTGGATGATACTAGCTCTTTGGCATCAGAGGCCACCTGCAGGCAGAGGAAAGGTCAGTTTATGTCCACTCAAAAGAGTAAGAGACACTTACACTTGGGCACCAAATTGGGGCAGTGAAATCCCCCTACAACACAAGCACTGACTCACCTGAAACTCCTCTTCTCCCTCTGCCTGAGAGAGCCTTCTGTTGGCTGATGCAATGCTCCTAGTGGAGATTGCATGGACCGCCCCTCTCCCCTCCCTGGGAACACTTTGCTTCTGCAATCTAGCAGCTGTGCTCGGTCAGAGCCTTCCTCAGCTAGGGCAGTACCAGGTCTCAAACCGCTGCAGCCCTTCCCCTCCACAGGGAGCCCTGAAACAAAGGCTAGAGTTACCTGGTCATCTGGCTGTTGGAGGATGGGCAGCTTCTCCTCCAGTTTGTCCAGGCTCTCGCAGGCATAGTCACTGGCTGATACTAACAGTTCTAGGATTAGATACCAAAAGCCTTTCCATTTCAATAGGCCATGCATGTTCAGGGGGGTTAACCAAGTTCCTTGCACCCTCTATACATGTGAGGTCACCTCCTTTTCCCTCTTTGAGAGGTGAACTAGTCAGAGGCTGGAGTAAGTTTGTGCTGGAGTCAGACTAGACCTCAGGAAGTGGTTCCTGTTCCTATTTGTGAACAAAGTCACTAGACCACGCTGCCCATGTGAAGGAGTGGTTTACTTCTGCTGGGAGAGGCCCTCAGGTGGGAGAAGGACACTTTGTGAAAAGGAACCTCTCCTCCAGACAGTTCATTCCAGCACCTCTGTTCTAGCTGCCATGCCAGCACTGCTCCAGAACATGGCGCAGTTTGCGCCCCAGTGGAGTTACGCTGCTGGCCAGGGGTGGATTGTTGGAGAAGGTCTTTTTGGCTGGCAATGCTCAGCCTTACCCCACAGGAAACTGTGTTGCTCACCAGCAGGCTGGGGTGGAATAAAACAGAAGGCATCCAGTACACTACCTGGAGACCGAGTTGGGATTGTGAGAATGGGGTCTGCTAACAGCAGCAGGCATAGGGAGTTGTGTAGGAGGCTCCAGCTAAGCACTGCTTGACATGTCTCTGGTGGCTGGTACCAGAGGGTCTAGCAGGGGAGCTGGAACAATATGTATAGTGGAGGTGCTGAGAGCCATTGAACCAAAACTGTAAACCCTGCATATGATAGAAACCACTTCAAGGCAGGGGGATGCGGCAGCACCCCTGGCATCTATGGGGCCTGGCGGAGTTGTTTCTGCACCATTAATTAAGGGAGATGCAGACCTGTCATTTGTTTCTTGTACATTGTGACCAGCACTGAGTGGGAAGGCTACATGGCATGTTTGTGTTGGGAGCTCTTCAGGGCTTGAGCCTGGACAGCAGGACCCTGGATTTCAACTGAAGCCAGTAACAGGAACGGAGCTACGTCTCAGTGTGGACATGCTGAGCATAAGGGGTATAGGAGACAGCTCCACTCCTCATTCGGGCACAGCCCAGATGCAGCAGTCAATAGCAGTATTACAAGGCTGTGTATGAAGCAGATTAAATCATGGAGACATGTCAAGCCCAAGACATGTAACTGCTTTGGCCTGGTGGTGTCGAACTGTGCTACTCCCAGCAATCAGTAAGCTTCATTCACAGTTTTGTATTTGGCGTATAAAATGGTGGACCCCATGTAACTGAATAATACGGACCATGGTTCAGAGTGGTGTTTGGTACTCATGTGCTATGTTGATGGGCATTCTGCAGCACCCATGATGTAGTCAGTGGGGATACCGGATGAAGCAGGGAGCCCTTATCCCAGGATGAAGGAGTGTCATGCACCTACACAGGAGAGGAAGGCTCCATTTCTCACTCAGGGAGGACATTTCTGTCTTGGGACTCACTTGGCAATTCACTCCCCATCCCCCTGCATATGCTTCACTCACCCTGAGGCTCTTGCTGGTCCAGGATGGGCTGGGTCCCACTGACTGTGGCAGATGGGATGGTCCTCACTCCAGTCTCTGCCACATCACAGATGGATCTGATGACAGGATGGGTCTCTTTGATGGAAGTGTAAGTGGTGGAGACCATGTCGTAAGCAGCACTGACCAAGGGCAGACTGGCCACTCTGCTCACCAAGTTCTAACAGGAGAACAAAAAGGAGAGTCATGACCACCATTGCTTGCTAGTTAGTATGAAGGACTATGGGTAGGCCAGCTACCTTTACTCTCCATCACCCCCTTCAGATTTGAAGGTCTGCAGCCTCCTGGGCAAAGGAGGCCAGACACAGTAACACCAGAGCATTAAGTCTGTCAGCCACTTCTTGGAGAGCCCTTTGATGGTGTAGTGACTTCCTAGGATGGGGCAGGCCTCAGTGCAACCACGCTCACCAGCAGCACTGTATTCCCATCACAGACAGAGTGATGGTTAGCTACTACTGTAGGTCACAGTAGCTATCTAGATTTACCAGCCAAGTTGGAACCTGGACTCCTCAGGAGGGCTGATGATGCTTCTTGTTCTGCTACCTAGGTCTAGGAATAGGCTGGTTCGCCACCACCATATGCCTGGGGCTAGAGCCACTGCAGCAGTCACTATAGGATGATGACTGGCTAGAAGTCAGAGCAGCCAGAACTAGGCACCTGCCAGATTTCCAGCACACACACTCACCTGTTGCTCCTGCTCCCCTCTCTTTGAGGGAGTATCCTGAATATCATTCTCGTTAGAAGACATGGTGAAGCCAAATGCTGCTGGGGAAGAGACCACCACAGAAGTTAGCCTACCAACAAGAGGCAAGCGGTGCCCAGACTAACAGCTTAAATGCAGACAGTGTGTTTTATCATTCCTCAAGTGCCCAAGGCAGTTCTATTGAGGGCAGAGTCATCTTACCCATTACCTTTTCAGCCACTCTAGTTTACTCCAAGAGACTAGAGCCAACCAATGCAGCAGCTCAGTCATGCCACTTGCTTGCCATAGAGGGGTGGCCAAACCCAGAGGGAGTGGCACAGGCAGGTCTGGGAAGGCTGTGTAGGTTATAGTGACAACAGTTGCTTTACAATTTAGCAACCGGTAGTGAGTGTTCCTGCAACACATGACCAGCAAGAAGCCCACAGCTCCCTCAGCAGGTGCTGATAACTGCTTTGTCCAGCATCATTAAAGAGATCGAAATGAGAGAATACAGCCAACCAAGCTCACCATCCGACCATCAAGCAGCTAGGAGATCAAGGGTTAGGATTTCATTCTTACACTGCACACAGAAATAGTTAAAATGGGGACCACAAGCAGTTTGCCTTGTTTATAGCGTTTCCCCTCATGTGGGGTTCAGAGAAAGACAGGTTTAGAGTTGGAGGAGAAGCTTGAAGGGAAGAGTTTCCTCAAGTACATGAAATACCAGCTACTAAGCTTGAAAACAAGCCTAATGGAAGGTAAACATCCCCCTGCAGACAGACGGCAACCCTGTGACCATCATCATGGGACCATTTCTAAGTGGTTAAGGACTCCCATTCTCACAGTGAGAGAGCTCCCCTCGCTAGAGGCACCAGAGTTGTTGACCAGGTGTTAGAGAGTCAGACCACTTGATGTAGAGATTTAAAGCCCCATCAGAATTTCAGCTAAAGCAGCAGATTTGTCTTTTCTATGATCATATTCTACCCGTTTCTCATTAGCCCTGCCTTACTAAGCTCATTGATTAAACCTGGTTAATTGATTCAGCTTCCCAAGGCAGGTAATTCCTATCTGCAGCTGATTAGTCAAGACCTCATAACAAAGCCATAAACCTTTAAAACACAACAAAAACATCCACCCACTCATCCCCACCCCCCCAAACACTCTTGGGTTTCACCCAGGAAGGGTGACTGGGCAGCACTGGGACTAGCCTGACACTCAGGATTGGCAAGAAAGTCTCATAACTCCCCCTTCTTTCCTCTTCACTAATCCAGAGTTTCACAGATCACAAGACAAACTCAAGAGCTTTCATCTCTAAGCATCTCCCTTCTAGGCCAGTACTGAAAGGTCTGGCGTTTGTTTCTCAGTAATGCAGATGCCGCACACTGAAATAGGTTAAATTAAAATCACACATTTCACAGCTGAAAAAACAAACAAAAAAAACCCCCACCAAACACTTCAGAACAGGCTAAACAACCCCTCTCTCCCACAGGCAGGCATAGTTATTTCAATAAAAACCACAGCCTACCTCAGCAAGGTTCTCCAATCAGTTCTCAGCTCCTGCACTGGTACAGTATACAAATGCTGCTCAGGCTTTATATACCAGTGCTGATATCATCGGAGGGCAGGCCTAGACAGACAGCACCAGAAAGAAATCAGAGCTCTCCACCCTGACCAATGAGTAGCTTTGTAGGAAACACCTTTTCCCCTTCAGCCATCTTAACAAAACAACAAGTATTAATGGAGCCCTAACATTATAGATTCATAGGTTCCAAGGCAAAAGGGGCCATTGTGATCATCTACTCTGACCTCCTGTATAGCACAGGTCAGAGATCTGCCCCCACCCCCAATAATTCCTAGAGCAGAGCTTTTAGAAAAACATCCAGCCTTGATTTAAAAATGGTCAGTGATGGAGAATCCACCATGACCCTTTGGTTAATTTTTCCAATGCTTAATTACTGTCACTTGTAAAAATGTATGCCTTGTTTCCAATCTGAATTTGTCTAGCTTCAACTTCCAACCATTGGATGGTGTTACACCTTTGACTGCTAGATTGGAGAGCTTATTCTCAAATATTTGTTCCCTATGTAGATACTTCCAAACTGTGATCAAGTCATCCCTTGGCCTTCTCTTTGTTTAGATAAATAAATTGACCTCTTTGAGTTTATCACTATAAGTCAGGTTTTCTAATCATTCTCTGGCTCTTCTCAGAACCGTCCTCAATTTGTCAACATCCTTCTTGAATTGCGGACACCAAAACTGGACACAGCATTTCAGCAGCAGTCACATCAGTGCCAAATAGAGATAACATAAACTCTCTCCTCCTACTCGAGATTCCCCTGTTTATGCATCCCAGGATCACATTAACACTTTTTGCCACAACATCACACTGGGAGCTCATGTTCGGTTGATTATCCCACAAATATTTTTCAGAGTCACTGCTTCCCAGGATAGATTCTGCCCCCAACCCAATCCTGTAAGCATGGCCTACATTCTTTTTTCCTAGGCATATACATTGAGCCATGTTAAAATGCAGATTGTTTGCTTTTACCAAGTAACTTGTCCTCTTTATTATTTACCACTTCCCCAATTTTTTTGTCATGTGCAAATTTTATCAGTGATTTTATTTTTTTTCTTCCACGTCATTGATAAAAATGTTAAAATAATATAGGGCCAAGAACTGATCCCCCTGGGACCCCACTAGAAATACATCAACTCCATGGTGATTCCCTGTTTACAATTACATTTTGAGACCTATCAGTTAGCCAGTTTTTAATCATATGCCATCTGCTAGCTCATTTTAACAGGGATATTAAAATAAATCAGAGATTTCTCTGGAGTGTAGGCAGCAGGGCTATCAGGGGAATAGTGAGAGCCATAATTTTAGATGTTTTATCAGTGTGATTGGCTGAGAAGTACAACCACTGAGTGAGACAATGTCTCTCAGGGAATGCTTAGGGCTCATTATTCCTGCCCAGAAGAGCTGACCACTTCAGCACAGCAGGATTCTACTCCTATATGGCAGCATAGCTAAAAGATGGCACTTGGACAAAGCGATCAGCTCATTTCAGGTCTCCCAGGCTCCCATAGGAGGCCCCAGAATACACTTAGCTTGAGGCTGTAGCCCCATTCCACATTAGGGTGTGGACCCTGTTGTTCAGTGCAATTGGGCATTTTCTGTGGTTGTTTGCTTCACTGTCTATTTTGGGAAAGGCCAGCGTGTTTTCTTTGGTCCAGGACCAGCTAAGCTGTCTCCTTGGTTAATTTCTGGCTATCCTCGTGGATTCCATTTATAATTTTAGCCTGTATTTTCACTAGCCCCAGCTTGTCTAGGAATACTTTTAAATGTGTTCCACAGGTCTCTGGTACTCCTTGGCAGCTTGGCTACATTTTGGTACTGCAGCTGCTGTGACAATTTCCCCTTTGGTGAAAACTGAGAGTTACACGATTGCCTGGTGTGACATGGACCAGGAAGCACCTGTGCAGACTTCCTGAGGAGAAACATTGGCATAGCACATAAAGGTCTCATTTTCTTGTGCATGTGGTGTATTTTCTAGTCTCTCATACTCTCAGGTGAGTGGTGTGGAACAGGAGAGACATTTTCACAAAACTTTACATAAGTGTTTTAGTTCATTGCAGAGGATTTTGCAAGCCACACATCTGGGGCTAATTGAATTTTTTTCAGTCAGAACTGACATTCAGTGAAACTCTAGCAATTGAACCAGGGATGCTTAAGTATAAGCTTCTACATCTTGAGCTAAAGGAGGCCATAACATATATTCACAAGTGGTTTATACTAACTGAGGCCTGACTGATTTGGTTTCTTTGAAGCCCGGGAACTTCTAAAACAAAACTAGAGTCTTAATAGCATTCTTAAAAAGAACAGGAGGACTTGTGGCACCTTAGAGACTAATCAATTTATTTGAGCGTGAGCTTCCGTGAGCTACAGCGAATACAGACTAACATGGCTGTTACTCTGAAATAGCATTCTTGTAATCTGAGAAAGGAATGCTGTCAATGGAACCACACTGACCCCCTTTGATCATCCACAGCAAAGACACCTAATACTTGAGCTAGGGAAATTCTGTAAGTAACTTTGGTCAGAGTGACAACTCTGAGAGAAGGGAAGAGGAGTTCCCTCAAATTCCTTTGGGTCATTTCCTCAAGTGTCTTTTTAGCTGTGTTAATATACTGGGCCAAGTTCTGCTTTCTTTGAAATCCAAGCAGGGATGTTGAGTGCAGTAGAAACCAAAGGAAGGACCTAGTTATCTGAGCATTGTCTGCAAGCTGGTCTGGTTCCTGGGCAGGTGGTGACTGTTGAGGGTGAGACTACAGTCACCTTTCAGGGGAACATTTTACACCAGTACTTGTAGCAGTGAGGATTCTTTAGCATCATCCTGCATGAGATCAAGTTCCCCAAGCCCTGCCTGACTAGAAACACTTATCAGTGCCAGATTAGCTTCTCTGATGAAGGCTTTAAGCATCTCCTTTGTCAGGCCATAAAGCCAATGAGAGAGGTTGAGGGGCAGGACTCAGGGAAGGCAACATGTAATTGGTCAGGCTAAGAAATGGGGAAGAGAAGGCAGAATGGCAAGCCCCAGAAATCTGAGTGGTCCAGGGCAGAGCATCATTCCCATGGCCAGGGACTGAGCAATACTCCCCACCCTGCATTGTCTTCAGTGGGTGGAGGGGCAGAACAGCATCCATGAGAGATGGCATTTCCTGACATTGTTAGCACTCTGAGTCTGTTCAGCCCAGGACAGCAAGTAAGCAAAGGAACCAAAGTCAGGCTACCCTAGTCAGGGAGAGCTGGTCTCCAGGACATGGCTCAGTCAGAGGGTATATTCAAGGTGGGATAGCAAGACAGGAAGAGATCTGCAGATGAACACAAGGACGAGACTTGTCTGAAAGCGGCTTGTGTTTATTGTGGAAGAGGCTAGCTGTGTTAACATACAGAAGTGCTTAGTCACCAGCAGAGACCTTTTATATCTACCAGCCCATATGCACTTCCATTAACAAGGCTCAGTTACCTTAGAGAAACCCAGCACCAGGAATGAGAGAGATGGAGGAACACCAATAACTGAACTAGCAGTATTGGTTGAATGCTGTTTGAAGGAAGGCCAGGTGAAGCCCTCACACTGGACAAATGATACCTTAGAACCTCTAGGTGGACTGGAGTCAGCCCCCTGTAGCCAGCATGTGCTCAACACCTCAGGATTCCCAAGGTAGTGGGGGTCCCATCTCTGACCCACCCTTCTCCAGCCTGGAAGTTGGGCTTGCAGGAAGCGAGAGCCAGCTCAGTAGGACCCATCAGTCTTAGAAGTCAAGTCACTATGAGACACATGCCTTCTGAAGGCTTCCAGCTAAGGCCCATTTAATAGGTGGGTGTTCTAGACAGTTGGCTACTCATGAGAAATTATTCTGTCCATCACTTATAGTGGGGAGGTGACAAAACTAAGGTATTAGAACTGCAAACCCAGCGCAGATGGGCTCATCAAGGTGAAAAGATTTGCCTCCATTCCATGAGAGTTATTGCAATAACTCCTGTGACATGCTGTTCACCACAAACAACTGCAGCATGGTGGGGTGGGAGAAGAGAGGCAGATATGGATATGAAATGTTCAGGCTGTGCCACTGGCTCTGCAGAGGAGGCGAGAACCCCAGCAGGAGTGAAGGGTCCCACGATCCACGTGAGAGGTGTGTTCTGCACCACGTATTCCAGCAGCTCATCCAGGGACTCCTGGGCTTTGGTCAACTTCTCCCAAGTCTGGGTCAGAATACCCTCAGACAACTCCTGGAGGGATTGGACATGGGAGAGCTCCAGACTTCCTTCTCCAATGTTCTGGTAGGCTTGCTGGACCTTCTCCTGGAGAGTGGCAGGGAGACCCTGGATATTGGTCAGGAGGCTATGGCAGGTGGTCCACACCTGCAGGATGAGGTTATGGGAAGTGGCTAGAGCCTGGGCCACCATCTCCTGTAGAGAGAGATAGGAGGGAGAGTGACTAGGTGTGTGAAGCTCACTCCTGTCATGACATGCTGTGCAGCACTGTCACATTGAGTCTTTGCAAGAAGACAATGACCCTGTGACTGCGCCCCACATTCACAACAGCAGTGCTGTTATGTGGCATTTTGTACGAATTATGCCTTGTAAGGCATCATTCTGAAAGTCTTAATCTGTTGACCATTAATATCTCAGATGGTGTGCACTATTGTTTTATATGAAGTTAAAGTTTTGCTATGTATGGGTTACTAAAGGTGTTGAACACACCCACAAGCAGCTTTTGAGGTACAACAATGAAGAAGCTACAGTGCTGATGGCCCTTCAAAGACAATGGCCCATGGAAGAGCTTAGGCTATCTGAAACCTTCACAGGAAGACTATGAGTCATGGCTGCTATGACTCAGCAAGGCACGCAAGGGCATGACACCATATTTTTCCCCACAAGCTGGGCTGGAAACTTGCCAGGAACCCTTTGTTCCAACCTATGTTGAAAGACATCTCTTGGCCTCACTCCCCCAAACAAGAGGTCTCCTGGAACCCCCCTGAGGGGCAGAGACTAAACTGGGGGAAATTTAGCCTGGGGCCAGAATGGATTTCTAGCCTATGTATGGAAGCTTGGTGGACTGCTCATATCAACCAGGGTGAGATATTGCTAATTCAAACCATATCTAGTATATTAGGCTTAGTTTGCCTTTATTTGCCAAGTAAATTGCTTGAAGTCTATCTTTCTGTAGTTAAACTTGTTTTATGTTTTATCTTAACCAGTGTGTCTTTAAGTGAAGTGTTTGGGAATCCTAGCTCTAAACAGAGGCTGTTCATGTCTTCCCTACATCAAGGGGAGTGGGGGAAGCAAACTATTAATGAACTTATGTTTTACAGATCCCTGTGCAGCATAAGATGGTATAATTCTGGGTTTTTGCTGCAGTAGGGGTGCAAGGCAGGGGAGTTAGGAAATTGGCTGAAGGCCTCCTGTTTGTCCATGAGTGGCTTAGATAAAAGTACTCAGGTAACTCAGTTGGGTGTGTGGAGCCACCTGCTGTTGTGTTGGGTGATAACAGTTCCTGGAGAGTCAGGCTGTGTATCAGCAGAGCAAGGTGAGAAAGGCCACCCCAGCTGAGTTGTTTGGGAGCTGTGGTTCCAACCCCATCAGATACCTCTGGCTGTGGTGAGTGGTCATTCTCACTGCCTCCCAGCTGGCCCTTGTGCCACTCCAGCCACATCTGCTGCAGCTTCTCCTGCCCATCATGAACCTTCTGACTCATGGCCTGCTTGACATGTTCTATCTAGAGGATACAGGGGTTCAGTCACTATGTGGGACAGCAGAGAACAAGAGCTCCTCCCAGTATTGCTCCCAGTGTGTACAGGGGAGCAGCAGAAGCTGAGTGAAGCAGACAGTGCCACACTTGTGATACCACTAGGCTGGAGACCCTTCACCTGGAAGGGAGCTGTTGACTTCTGCAGCCACCAAAGACCAGTGTCACAGTACACCCACTCCCATGGATGCAGGTATCATGTACCCAGGACTACATGGCACTCAGCTGGGCTTTGAGCTATAGTTGTGTGCAGACACTGCATGACTGCCCCCCCCCCCACCTGCTCACATGGTCATTCAGGGACATGCAGAGCTTGGCAAGCAACTGTCTGATCTTCAGTGATCAGAGCAGCTACAGGGGAAAAAAAAAACACAGTAAGAAAAAAGGTCATACCAGGTCGATGGTTTGCTGGAGCTGGGACAGGGCCTCCAGGGTGTGCTGTCTGGCTTGTCTCATCTTGCCCAGGGCGTGCTGGTAGGCTCGCTGGCGGAGTCTGATAGAAAGGGAACCCAGACGCACAAAGTAACTCTTCTGCTCTCCAGATCCCTCCACAGGGGTTGCCAGCTCACCTGGAATACAGCAAGGGAGAAATTGTCAGTTGTGATGAGACCTGAACTGCAGAGTCAGACCCCAGGTCTGGTATTCTGTTCCAGGCTATGGACTCATAGAATATCAGGGTTGGAAGGGACCCCTGAAGGTCATCTAGTCCAACCCCCTGCTCGAAGCAGGACCAATTCCCAGTTAAATCATCCCAGCCAGGGTTTTGTCAAGCCTGACCTTAAAAACCTCTAAGGAAGGAGATTCTACCACCTCCCTAGGTAATGCATTCCAGTGTTTCACCACCCTCTTAGTGAAAAAGTTTTTCCTAATATCCAATCTAAACCTCCCCCACTGCAACTTGAGACCATTACTCCTCGTTCTGTCATCTGCTACCATTGGGAACAGTCTAGAGCCATCCTCTTTGGAACCCCCTTTCAGGTAGGGGAAAGCAGCTATCAAATCCCCCCTCATTCTTCTCTTCTGCAGGCTAAACAATCCCAGCTCCCTCAACCTCTCCTCATAAGTCATGTGTTCTAGACCCCTAATCATTTTTGTTGCCCTTCGCTGGACTCTCTCCAATTCATCCACATCCTTCTTGTAGTGTGGGGCCCAAAACTGGACACAGTACTCCAGATGAGGCCTCACCAATGTCGAATAGAGGGGAACGATCACGTCCCTCGATCTGCTCGCTATGCCCCTACTTATACATCCCAAAATGCCATTGACCTTCTTGGCAACAAGGGCACACTGCTGACTCCTATCCAGCTTCTCGTCCACTGTCACCCCTAGGTCCTTTTCCGCAGAACTGCTGCCTAGCCATTCGGTCCCTAGTCTGTAGCGGTGCATTGGATTCTTCCATCCTAAGTGCAGGACCCTGCACTTATCCTTATTGAACCTCATAAGATTTCTTTTGGCCCAATCCTCCAATTTGTCTACGTCCTTCTGTATCCTATCCCTCCCCTCCAGCGTATCTACCACTCCTCCCAGTTTAGTATCATCCGCAAATTTGCTGAGAGTGCAATCCACACCATCCTCCAGATCATTTATGAAGATATTGAACAAAACCGGCCCCAGGACCGACCCTTGGGGCACTCCACTTGATACCAGCTGCCAACTAGATATGGAGCCATTGATCACTACCCGTTGAGCCCGACAATCTAGCCAGCTTTCTACCCACCTTATAGTGCATTCATCCAGCCCATACTTCCTTAACTTGCTGACAAGAATACTGTGGGAGACCGTGTCAAAAGCTTTGCTAAAGTCAAGATACAATACATCCACTGCTTTCCCTTCATCCACAGAACCAGTAATCTCATAATAAAAGGCGATTAGATTAGTCAGGCATGACCTTCCCTTGGTGAATCCATGCTGGCTGTTCCTGATCACTTTCCTCTCATGCAAGTGCTTCAGGATTGATTCTTTGAGGACCTGCTCCATGATTTTTCCAGGGACTGAGGTGAGGCTGACCGGCCTGTAGTTCCCTGGATCCTCCTTCTTCCCTTTTTTAAAGATTGGCACTACATTAGCCTTTTTCCAGTCATCTGGGACTTCCCCCGTTCGCCACGAGTTTTCAAAGATAATGGCCAATGGCTCTGCAATCACAGCCGCCAATTCCTTCAGCACTCTCGGATGCAACTCGTCCGGCCCCATGGACTTGTGCACGTCCAGCTTTTCTAAATAGTCCCTAACCACCTCTATCTCCACAGAGGGCTGGCCATCTCTTCCCCATTTTGTGATGCCCAGCGCAGCAGTCTGGGAGCTGACCTTGTTAGTGAAGACAGAGGCAAAAAAAGCATTGAGTACATTAGCTTTTTCCACATCCTCTGTCACTAGGTTGCCTCCCTCATTCAGTAAGGGGCCCACACTTTCCTTGGCTTTCTTCTTGTTGCCAACATACCTGAAGAAACCCTTCTTGTTACTCTTGACATCTCTTGCTAGCTGCAGCTCCAGGTGCTATTTGGCCCTCCTGATATCATTCCTACATGCCTGAGCAATATTTTTATACTCTTCCCTGGTCATATGTCCAACCTTCCACTTCTTGTAAGCTTCTTTTTTATGTTTAAGATCCGCTAGGATTTCACCATTAAGCCAAGCTGGTCGCCTGCCATATTTACTATTCTTTCGACTCATCGGGATGGTTTGTCCCTGTAACCTCAGCAGGGATTCCTTGAAATACAGCCAGCTCTCCTGGACTCCTAGCTACAGGCACTGATGTATCACAAACACACAAGGTGAGGATCACTACAATGAGGGAGCAGGCAGAGACATGGACACCAGTATTCATTCCAGCTCTGTCTCCCGGATGAGATGGGAGATTCCCCTCCACCCACCAATACCATATTTTCTGTAAAGAAAGGATCTCCGGTAAACTGTTTCCAGCTGCCAACATTTACTGCAGGATGTCCACTAGCTGCCACCTAATGGGCAGAACACAAGCCAGATTCTCAAGTTGCAAGAGACAGCAGGCCTATGTGATCAAGGTGGGCTGCATGGCCCTCGTTACCCCACAGAGCATGAGGGAGCACATTAGGAGGATACAGAGGTTAACAAAGCTCCATTCTGCTATTGTGCCATGGAGAGCCAGCACCAGTATACTTACTGAGCTCCTCCTTGGTCATGAGGAGGTAGTGATCCATCAACTGCTCAGATTTCCCCAGAGCCATGTTCATGCTGCTGGTCACTGTGGATTTGGTCACCTCCACGCTCTCCTGGACAGCCCCTTGGGCCACACCCACCATGCTGGTCACTACATCCTTCGCCTCAGTGACCGTGCTGCAGACTGCATCCTTGGCACCCACCACTGTGGCATGCACTCGGTCTTGGGCATCTGAAGCCACCTAGAGGCAGGTGTCAGAGGAGAGGTCATGGCCACATATGCCAGAGCTACAAGATGGGTGGGGTTTTTTTTTGGGGGGGGGGGGAGGAGGGAGAAGAGGAGGGGGGTGGAAGCATAGCAGGCACTCCCTCCAAGTGGAGAATGCTCTTCTGTGGAAGCTTTCTAGCATACTGACTAGCATACATGCCCCCCACCCCCTGGCCTCCTTGTGCAGGAGTTACAGCTGTGGGAAGCTCCAGACAAAACCTGGATTTCAAGAAAGTGTTTGTTGCTAGTTGGCAGGTTGCTACTTGGCAGCATCAATGGAGTAGATGAGGCAGTAATTCTGTGGTCTGCCCACAAACCAGAAAGTGTGTTTTTTGTAACCAGGGTGCAGGGTTCTTACCTTCTGCACAGTCTGTTGTAGCACTGGAAGCTTCCCCTCCAGGGTGTCTAGTCCCTTATGGGCATATTCGTTTGCTGCTGCAACTACAAAAGGATCAGAGTGGTTTCCCTCAACTCCTTCCTAGGTGTTCAATCACAGCAAGCATTTGGGCAGGGGGACCCCCGGCCCTGATGTCCCTTTGATGTAAATACCCTCCCTCATGTGTCGTGTGGGGCTAAGAACTCAGGTCCTGGCTACTAGTTCCAGGTTCAGAGTGCTGGCCCCAAGATCCCTCAGGAGAACAAGACAGCCCCCCAAAGCAACCAGAACCTCTTGAGATTAATGTTCTGTTGCACTCTAGCTCTTGTCAGGGATTCCCATGGGCTTCTGCAAGCCTCACTCCAGTGTTTTTAGACTGGTTAGTGCCCCATTCTCTTTATGGGGATGGAGAGATCAGGGTTGGATGCCTGGACGCTGCTCGCTCTCAGCTGGCTTCTCCCAGTCCTGGGAGAGGGGGAACCGTGCCCTGCCCCACAGCAATCCCTGCAGAGCAGCACTAGTCCCCATGGAGTGTTACCTGCCCAGTGTCTTGTCCCAGGACCTGTGTCCAGCTGCAAGGAGACAACACACCAGGAAGGGGGCACTGTCTACAAACACTCATTTGCCAGGACATGAGAGTGAACTCAGGCAAGATCTGTCAGTTACCCACCCCAGGCTGTTCATACAGGAGTGTTCCTGCCTCCCCTCCCTTACTCACTCTGTGACTCCAGCTGGTCCAGGATGGGCCGTGCCCCGGTGAGGGCAGCAGAGGTGATGGCCCTCACCCCTGTCTCTGCCACCTCACAGACCGCTTTGATGGCTGGGTGGGTCTCTTTGGTGGCAGCGTAGCTGGCAGAAGCCATCTCACAGGCAGATCTGACCAAGGACAGGCCAGCCACCCTGTCCCCTGCAGTCTGAGGGAGGGGAAGGAGTCAGCTGGGGAACATTCGCTGTCTGGGGCACATGGCTGGACCAAGCGACTCCTCGGTCTGTTACCCTCTTGGGAACGTTAACTCTGTACCCAGCTAGCCACAGAGCTGGGTGCCGAAGAGTTCAGCGCTCCCCCATCCCAGGCCATTTTGGTTCCTCCACACCATAACCCAGCTAGCTCAGCGTTAATAGTTAGTGACACCCCCAGAATGATCCTTGCTTCCTTCTGCACACGTACGGCATGGCAGTTCCACTCCCAGCAGCGTAGGGGGCTATATCCATCTATTGTATCCCAGCTGGGAATCCACAGCTAAGCTCTAACCCCATCCTTGCTGCTGACAGGGTTAATACAGCTAGTCCTGGGCTTCCTTTCACAAGAACTAGTGGATGGGAAAAGTCCTGCCTGAGGGGTGCCTCTGCACGAATCCCCTTGTGCTCCAGGGTTAGCATCTGCAATCAGTACAGCAGGGACGAGCGCCGGGCTGCTCCAGAACTATTCTGGTTAGCACTCGCCAAAGCCAATTTGGAAGAAAAGCGAACAACAAAAACTTCTCTGCAAACTCTGATTTGAACTGTTTGGCAATCTCCAAACACCAAGCAGTTTTGAAACAAGCTTTGGGGAATTGACCTTTTCGGTTACAGCAACGGCAAGAGTGAAAAGAACATCAATTTCACTTAGCTGCTCTGTGGAGTGGGAGCCTCCAAGACCTCAGATACCCTGCTCCAGACAGGCTTCCCAGGACTCTACGGGGCTCCCCCTCAGAGTGGCAGGTTTCCCTGGGAAGCCTGCTTGCATTTCATCAAGAGTTTTGTTGACTGGGCAATAGATTTGGCAAAACATTTCACTCCAGCACACTCAGCATTTTCTGACACAATGAAGTTCTGTCAGGACAGCAGGACGCCAGCTCCCCAGCATGGACCTACCTGTTGCTCCTGTCCCTGGGGCTCAGGGCAGGCAGCCTGGATTTCACTCATGTTACCAGACATGCAGAAAGGAGATGTCACTGCAAGAACCAGGAGGGACCCTTAAGGGATCAGCAAGCCTCAGGCTTCCAGCTGCACCACAGATTGCAGCCTCTCACTCATTTCTAACAGCTGCTGCAGTCCCTTGGCCAGTCGGTGCCTACTGCAGTAATGCACCCATGTGATTCCCCAGGGAGGGAAGCCACGCTCAGGACTAGGTAATGCAGGAGCGCCCTTTTCAGCTCTCTTTTCTGGCTCATCCTAGCTACACTGGTGGCTGGGACCAAGGAAATGTATCCCAGGTCTTGGACACCTCAGTGAGCAGGACACAGGGCCAGGCAGGGGAAATTCCTCCTGCCAGCAGGAGTCAGAGCCATGACAGGGAACTGCAGCCTGGCTGCAGGGTCAGGGTAGTAACTGCACCAAGGGAGGAGTCAGCTTTCCCCTCTTCCCCATGCACGCTACACACCAGGACCCGAACCCTGGCAGAGCGGTAGGAAGGGGCTCACAGCGCCCCTTCAGCAATACAGGCTAGGCGGAGATGGGAGAACAGAGCAGCCCTGAGTGTTTCTAGGGTCTGACTCCTCTCCCTTCCCACAAGTAGACTGGGCTCCTCTGAGCCCCACCTCCTTGGACATGGGAGGAGAGGTCTATGGTCAAGGTGTGGTAGATATGCCCCAGGCCAGGCTGGAGCCTCTTTGCCAAGCGCAGTACCCATAATAGATGGAGAGTTAGCATCAGAGTGTGCAAGGAGACAAGCTCCAGCAGCCCCCCCAAACACCAGCTGTGTGGTCATGGCCAGCCAGGGAGAAGCTGCATAGGAGGCCCAGCTGGGAAGCTAGGATCCCAAGAGAAGAGGTTTCCTCTTGAGGGAGCAGAGCTCTTCCTTCCTGAGCCAGGATCTTGGCTGTTGCTTGTTCTAAGCTCTCACTGAACTCATGGCAGTAGCCAGGGTCAAGAGTGATTTTGTTCTCTTTAAACAGAGAGACAGTCTTTCTGCCCCCATCTCCCTTCCCGCCAGCTATTAATCTGGGTCAGAGCTAGACGTACAGGCAAGTGCGGCCAACTGAAAAGGGAGAGCAGGCCAGTCATCTAACCCCACAACTTCCCACGCTAACAGCCCTCAAGAACTGAAAGCAGTTCCAACTCTCCAGCTCTCACAATGGAAGGCCAAACACTGCAAGGCAAGCACAGCTTTAAGGTCCATTCCAATGACAGACAAGCTCAAACAAAACAATCCCCTTCAAACTCAACACTTCAGATCCCAAAGCCATGGTGCACTGGCAGCTCGCAGCCCACTGCTCACCAAGCCTGCACCCTGCAGCTCCCTCAGCCATACACAAACCACCCCCTGCATAGCTTTTATAGCCCAGTGATGATGTCAGCACAGGGCGGGGACACTTGACAGACAGCTCATCAAAGCAATCAGGAAGGTGTACTCTACCCTGACCATTGAGGTCTGGAATTGGGGTGGAGCTTGTTGCCTTGGAAAATGGCAGTGTTACAATTGACATAGGGGGGTATTTGCCTATATAGCGTCCCAGCTGTTCCAGGCGGGGGCCTTGACCACTGCAAAGATATCTGAGACAGGGGAAGCTGTTTCCCCAGCACCGAGTTCTCCTGGGTTCCTGTAGACCAAGGGTGGCCAACCTGTGACTCCGGAGCCCCGTGCGGCTCTTCAGAAGTTAATAGGCAGCTCCGTGTATAGGCACCGGCTCCGGGGCTGGAGATACAGGGGGCCAACTTTCCAATGGGCCGGGGGGTGCTCACTGCTCAACCCCGGCTCTGCCCCAGGCCCTGCCCCCACTCCACCCCTTCCCGCCCCCTCCCTTGAGCCTGCTGTGCCCTCGCTCCTCCCCATCCCCAGCCAGAACCTCCTGCATGCCACTAAACAGCTGATCAGGCGGTGTGGGGAAGAAGTGGGAGGTGCTGATCAGCGGGGCTGCTGCTGGGTGGGAGGTGCTGGGAGCGGGGGAGGGGAGGACTGATGGGGGGGCTGCTGGCGTATTACTGGGACTCTTTGGTGATGTACATTGGTAAATTCTGGCTCCTTCTCAGGCTCAGGTTGGCCACCCCTGGCGTAGAGGGTGATGGGATGCCTGTGGAGTGCTGAGGGGACATTTCCTAGGGTACGCCACATCCAGCACCTGACTGCCCATGGGCAGGCCCTGCCGGTGTGCAGATCTGCTGACCTCAGGAAGGGAGCACGGGCTTCAGGGCAACTCCACCACAGGGGCTCTGGGTCACAGCAGCACAGAGCTAGTGTAGGATCGGGACCGCGAGGTTACCCCTGGGATGGTATGTCTATATCACTAAGGACATCCTCACACATTGCATGTGGACACTTCTCCTTCGGAAACCCTCTGGCTCCCAGTGCTGGCCGAGCAGCGTAATACGCTTCTGCAGTCAGCCGAGAGAGGACCCAGGCTGCTCCTGGAGCGGGCTGGGGGGCTAAAGTCTTTAGTATCCCCCCGGCATAGACAAGGTGAGATGCCTGCATCAGGCCCACCAAGCTGCCAATGAACATCACCCTCACTTTGGAAGTGCCCATTAGCCAGGGAATTCCACCCCAGCTCCTTGGCATGTTTCAATTCAGTCGTTCAGGTCAGTGGGCAGCAGGGTGGTTGCTGCAGCTGTTTGCTTCCCCGTCCACTCTGGCAGAGGCTGGGTGCGTTCTCTGTCCCAGGGCTGGCTCATGCTGTGTGGTATTTCTCCCAGCGGGCGAGTACTTTGTGTAGCGCTCAGCGGAGTGGGGCTCCAGTCCCGGGGGAGGCCTTTGGCCCTTACCCCAGTACCATTCATACACAATAAATCAGACTAACAACTCCATCGTTACCTGAGTTTTGCTTTCTCCTGGGAGCCCTGTGAAATGTTTGACAATCTCTCTGCCATGGTTTGGTGGCTGGCTCTTATATGCTTGATGCCATCACGAGCACTGTACCAGCAACAGGCATTTCCTCAGCAGACTCTCCTGGGAACCTTTTACCTTCGCTGTTCATAGCATTTCCCATCTCCACTAACTGCACTCAGTCTAACATAAGTGTCAGTTCAATACAGGGAACCCCCAGGCTCAGGGGGTATCAGGGGAGCATTTGGGAAATGATGGGGATGACACAGCCACAGGGAAGGACAAAGTGGGGAGACAAGCTCAGGGAAAAGTTTGGGTCAGTCATAGCCACTATGCTCAGCTCTGCCCTCTTCCCATTATCATTCCTGGCCTAGTTACTCCAGTGCCAAGGCCCTTCCCAGCCGGAGTGACAGCAGATCACACCAGGCATAACTTCGTCCCATAACCTCCCTACACCTTTCACACAGGGAGTAAAATCAAAGCAGGGAGTGCAAATGCCTGGAGCAGCTGAGCAGAGTGACAGTGGCCTGGGGCTGAGGCAGGTGCTCACCTCCCTCCTTTAAAGCAAGCCTAGATGTTCATACCCATGTGTCTGTCCCACAGAGGGATGTGAGAGGGCCTCCATCTAAACACAAGATCTTCAGCTTCAGCGGCTGCAAGGGCCAGAGTGGGGCAGTGTTAGGCTCTGATTCTACAATGAGCCCTGCACAAACCAGCCCCTGCATTTACTCAGACCCCCAGTAACTTCAACAGGCAGTTGGGAAGAGTAGCTGAGTTCCAGAGGGCTCTGCACAGGTCCAAGTATCCCTAGCACAGAGAGACCATTGCATGCTCAGGGCTTAGAAACCACCTTCCCATCCATAGCCCTCCCACACAGGCAGCCAGAAGAAGCAGCAAGCCCAACCATGTTGAGAGCACACTACAAGTCTTCCTACCTGGGATCTACAGCTACAATCACTAATTATCCAGAGGGTGCCACCCAGGAGAGAAAGCCAGCTGGGGGCAGGAAGCATCTCTTTCCTTTTCCCATTCCTCCTTCTAATATTCAGACCATTGGGGTGTAGCTGGTGTGATCTCTATGCTCACATGTGGATCCTCCAACAGGCCTCTGGATTAAACAGTCGAGCCCATTGGTTTGGGGTTTGCTGAAATAACTCACTGCTCTTTGAATAAATACTGCACCCGGTGGGTTAGTCAGTCACTGAATTTGCTTTATATAACTTGAGAGTGGTGCAGCAACATTTTCCATCGGGTTTCTTAGGTCTGACCCTGCTTGGGGATGTGTTAGAACCGCTCCTTCTCTACGGAAAGATTAGCTGCAGGGGCTGCGCTCGGGAAACGTAGGCTGCAATGTTCTTCATGGCGTAAAGAAAATCCAGCTCCCACTTCTATCCAAGTTTGAAGCTAATATCTGTTGATGTGAAATCCACTCATTGACATCACACATTTTATTAGACTTGGACAAAAGAGGAAAGAGCTTCACTGGGCTTGGATACAGAAGTCATGTTAGCTGACCAGCACTCCTGAAGTCTGCACTTACTCTTCCATATTCCTAAAAGGAGCAGACTAGGACCTTTACTCACCCCAGCAGGGCTCCACCTAGCTAGTGTGTTGGAGGGGGCCTCTGTTAATCCAGAACACAGCAGGGTATGTAACACACTTCCAGTTACACAGGCAAATTAGCCTCAGTGATCGCTCACTGTCAGTTAGGGAGTTTCTGACTTTTCTGCAGAAAAGGACCTCGAAGTTACAGTGGACAAGAAACTGGCTATGAGTCAACAGTGTGCCCTTGTTGCCAAGACGGCCAATGACATTTTGGGTTGTGTAAATAGGGGCATTGCCAGCAAATCGACAGACATGATTGTTCTCCTCTATTCAACATTTGTGAGGCCTGATCTGGAGTACTATGTCCAGTTTTGGGCCCTACACTACAAAAAGGATGTGAAAAAATTGGAAAGTGTCCAGCAGAGGGCAACAAAAATGTTGAGGGGACTGGAACACATGATTTATGAGGAGAGGCTGAGGGAACTGGAATTGTTTAGCCTGCAGAAGAGAAGAACGGGGGGGGGGGGGGGGATTTGATAGCTGCTTTCAGCTACCTGAGAGGGAGTTCCAAAGAGGATGCATCTAGACTGTTCTCAGTGGTACAGATGACAGAACAAGG